ATGCAGCTCATTCATCACCATCAACATGAAGAACACAAGCTAAGGGGATTTCTTACTTGTGGAAGAAAATAATTCTCTGGACAGAATAAATGATAAATTCCATTAAGCAATTCTTGGTCATAATCACTTTCAGTTCACTCAGATTTATAGCCACTCTTCATCTTTGCTTTAAATACTATTAAAATAATCTATGTGCATGACTAATTTCTCATCTTTTTTATTTAAAAGTAAAATCTAAAAACTTTCTTGTACATTTTGAGAGCATATATTCTGAGTATGCACAGAAGTGACTTTCCTATATATTGTCCTACAGGAGAAAAAGTGTACAACTTTTTTTTAGTTCACTGTACATATGCAATTTTACCAAGATTACTTAAAAACAGTAGAACATCTTTGCATCTTCTCATAACAACATAAAAGTTACAGAGTCAAAGAATATGCATAGTTTCAAAGAATAATCATAGTTTCTACACATTTTACAAAGTTACATAATGCCATGTGCTAATAGATAAAATAACTCTCCAAAAAACCAAGGAGACCTTGGGAAAGTCCTCATAAGTTGCTTTCCAGAACTGCACAGGAGAGTGACATTCATCTTTAATCACATACAGTTAGTTGTTTTTCATTTTTATATGTGTATGATATGCAGTGAAATATTTGTTAAAACTTTCATAGGTGAGAAAAATCAGATTTATTTTGCCTGCATGTACTGCTATAAAGTGATTTGAATACATACATAAACCAGACACGCAGCTAAAATGTTCTACATACAGAACTCAAGATATTACACACAATCATAACCTTGTTAGACTCTACTGGAAATAATTTCTGCTAATATCCAACTGGATATTCAGTTTTAGTTCATTGTTTAAGGTCTTTTGCCCAGGATCCATATCCCAGTTGTTGTTGTTATTCTTCTTTATGGTCTGGTCCTGTTTCTGACATTAGAATCTCATTACTACTAATACAAACTTTCAGAGTGACTGGATTACTTGATTCCAGAGAAAGCTTGAGAGAAAATACAATTCCAATCACATGTCAGAAGTTCTTAAAAATATATTGGATATATCTCCTGTTTGGATAATCATATCAAAGCAAGCAATTAACTCAAATTTTTGAAGTCTCACATCCCTACAGAGATTTCTTTAACTACTGAATACCCAGCATGAAGGAAGGAATCCTGCAGAAACAGAGCTCAACAAGTGGAGGTGGACAGCAAGGAGAAGGGCAAAAAAAATTGAAAATACATTTGCAAGGATCTTAGAGCAGAAACAACTGGTCAAGATTGCAGCAAGACATGCATTTTTTCTTCTTGTAATAATTTTTAAACTTATTAATAGCAATTGCTGCATGGTTAGAAATAAAAACAACCTTGATTTCCTTACCTGCTGTTTCAAAAAAACACAACAGAAACAGCCAAACCAGCAGGGCAGAAAGAGAGACAGGATATGCACTTTTTGGCAGTCAACCTTCATTCAGACATCTGAATCCATAGCATAGGAACACCTAAGCATTGCAATAACCAGATCTAATTTATTTCTCATTAATCCTCTAGCTTCTTATGATATCTGGGTCAAACCTAAACATGAAAGCTATGTAACAAGGGAGAAAAAAAATTGAACATGTGCTGGAGCAGCAATAGGGGATTTCCAGTAATATTCACGCTACTGGTGTTGTATTCCTGTATCATATAGCTTTCAACCATGACCCCAGGAAGGCATATTTGCCCACCCATGCAGAAACTCTTTAGTCTTTTCATACAAGAATTTAATTCACAAAGCATGAACAGAGAAAGAACTGCCTCTGCCTATATAGCTATTATATCCCTGCTGAAATCACCATCTGCACTGATGTCAGACAGCTATGCTAAAAAAACATGAACTCATTTCAGACAAACAGAAGTCATAGTCACTGGCTTCCCAGCACAGCTGGGTGAACAATTAGAGTCACCACTGTCTGGGCAACTGCACAAGTGGGCTTTCGAACAGCCAGAAAGAACAAAGGGCTTGTGTTGCTCTCCTCTGTTGACTTGTTGCTTTATGGCATCCTGCATTGTTTAAATATGCCCCTCAGCTCCTCAGCTGAGTACGTCAAGCTATAAAGTTCGTACTGAGGCCAGATCAAAATGCCACAGCACAAACACTACCAGAGAGGCAGGTGTAAGGCTTGCAGGTTCCTGTGGCAGGCATGCACATCTGCACTGCTCCACAACCCATTCATCCCAAGAGCCTGAGCTTTTGGCATTAGATTCATTTTCATTTATTAAAATATGTGAATGAATCATTTATAACCAGTGTAGTGATGTCTGCTGGTGTCTGTAGGCTGTCTAGGACATCCAGATTGGGATCAAGTGGAGGCGGGCCTGGCATTACTGTGTATAAAGGTCAAACAATCCTGCTACAGAAACAGAGGATCCCCCTGTACCTTTTGCATAAACCAGTCTCTTTGGGAAATGGACTCTGGCATGGTACCTTCCTCGTTCCCTTCGGCAAAACACCTGAAAGCCAGAAGGTAGTCTGAGATATGTTTGGGACATTCAAGGCATGCTGACTGTGTCCCCACTTCTGACAGCAGTTTCCAGTCCTCTAGCTGCTGGAATCCCTCAGAGCCCAAGCTTGCCTTCAGTCTTCCTCACAAAATACAACAGGTGAGAAAAACCCTGAAACAGTCACATGGTAGTGAAGCACAGCTATTCTACATTCACATGGACATCACCCACACAAGTGTCTGGCTATGAGTTGCCAGTTAATGCCACTTGCAGTGAGTACTGTCCCGTGGATAGAAACAGAGGTAAGTTTGCTTTTCCCCAAAACTTCAACAAATCACATAAAACCTGACCAAAAACAACGACTTCTACCATCTTCAGAAACCAAGACAGCTATAATTTATTTCTTGTCTGCTGAAGTTGTCAGAGACTTAGATTAGATTTTCATCTACTTGTTGAAGTCAGCTGCAATGAGAGCACAACAGACTGACAGGGAGTTAAGAGAAAGCTTGTATACCATTACATTTTTTTCATTAGGTACCCTGGTAATTTTCCGATAAGTCACAAAAAGCCTGTCTAGAAAGACAGTATTGCTTTTGGCAGCTTTACAGTGTTCTTCACTGAGCAACAGATAAAAAATTAACCATCAGTGCTTCACTTGCCAAAGTACTTTTTGAAGATACTCTGGAAGTTCTCAGTGTTAGACCCAAAAATTTCTGTTGAGTTCTTTATTTTACAGTGGACTTGGAACCAGTGAGAAGTACACTTCTGCTGGTGCTATAGTTTGTTTGTCATCAAGAAACCAAATTTGACGGCAAATTTGGTGGCTTTCTCATTAATGTTCTATAGCCTAATAGAGTTTTACACACTAGCTACAGGTTAATAACCAAGAGCAAGCTGCAATACAGACTTCATGGCTTTTAAGATTTGAGGCTGAGGAGACAGATTCCTTCAGGCTGATTTGCACTGATCCACTAGTGGTAAATGAGGACAAGCAATTTGCCCAGTACCACAGAACAGTTACATAGTATAACCAAGTGCTCTCCCTTGACCTGGTTATTACTCAAGCTCACAACCTTCTAAGAAATACATATTTATTAGTCTCATTAGCAAAACATTAGTTAGTTAAGCCTTCCATCGTAAAGATTTACAGTATTTAAATCAGACTACCTCTGCTTACTTGCAGATAAGATTACAATCTAATCTTGAAATACACAGCCCTTGCTGTTCATGCAACACAATTCAACCTTAACATTCAAAGAGCACTGAGAAGTGATTCAGCACGCAGCACTTCCCTTCAACACACAGAGGAGAGCTATTTTGTGTGAGAGGCAACCCTTAAATACAAAGAGGGTATGCTCCTTCTGAGTTACACAACAATAACAACTATTTCCCTCCTCCCAAAGCCACTCCTCAGCAAAGACACGCAACTGCAATCAAAATACATCACATCATTTCCTTTATATTTTTTCACCTTTAAAAGCTAAAGTTCAAGCTGTCTGATTAATGACACCAGTGAGACATATAACAGTATTTACACAAGTAGGTTTCACATCTATGGTACGCTACCTAGGGCTGAGTTACAGGATATTAGCTCAACTCCACTGCTGAAAACAGCTTCCAAGTTCCAGTACCTGGAATAATATAAAACATTACCAATAGCTGCAAGTGTCCAGCTACACATCTCAGGAGATCTCCTTTGTAAGTATGGATTCAGTTCTGCACAAGCTGGTGTGCAAAGACAGCTTTTATGAACTTCAGTAACAATCCTGCATATGCAGGGAAACAAATTGGTCCATGCAGATGATTCAGATCAGCAGATTCTCCCAAATGCCTGACAACCTGATTTTCACAAGGCTAAGGGCATTAGGGCATATTTCCAAATTGCTCTTAGAAGTCACCAGCTTTGGCGTGTAAACATTAACAAGATTTTGGAAGACTCTTTCTAAAAATTAGCCATTAGAACTACAGAGAGAAATGTGCAAAAGCTAACTTGTGTCTCTCATCCAAAAATTACAAAACACGTCATTGAAACACACCTTTAGGCAAAATTTAGAGGATGCCTAACCTTTCCAGAAACTATTAAAGCAGCTGTGTATTGATGGTATTCAGATGGCTAACTCCTGACAGCATTCAGACTTGGAGTTGGTCCAAAACACCTCACTGTGGCAGAGACATCCACAGGCAGGTGTGGAACACCTTTTGCCAATCTGTGGTTAACAACATTAAATAAAAGGAAACCAAAAAACAAACATAATATTTTTTTGTTTCACATAACTCAGCTAAGGACCAGGGGTGGAGTGAGGGAAGCACTTCATAAAACCTGTTTTCTTTAAGCCACATTTCAATCCTCACCATAACAATACCTTGGCACTGAAATTATACTGTAGTGAAATATCACTGTGCGCAATGTCAAAACTCTCAAAAGGAAATCAACAATGGGACATATTAGCTAAGGTTGTTTTCTGCTTTAGTCAAGATTGTATTCAAGGTCAAAACGGTAAGCATTACTTACTCACACAGAAGAATGCCGTTTTCTAACCCAGAACGAAAATCTTTCTCACCAAAACTTCTGCCCGTCACTTGCTGCAAAAGAGTAGAGGGAAACAAAAGAGTGACATCTATTAGAGAGTGAGCTTCACAAGTGCAATTCATAATATTCAGTTAGAGCATCTGCTGTGTAAGGAACATTTGAGCTTTACAGGCCTTGCAAAGGACTAAGCAATGTCCATTTCTCTTTCCCATTTCATCAAGCTATTTAACATATAGGACAAAATATTTGCTCCAGCCAGTGCAATTGCAGTCTGCAATTGCAGACTGTTTTCTAGCAGTAAAAACCAAAAATTACAAAACAAAAACTACAATGTAATCTTCAGAATATTTTAGAAGTTTTATTTTATAGTGCTTTGAATTTTAAAACTATTGCATTTAAACAAACTATGTATTTTTATTGCTTTTTTTGCATCACATTAAACATTTTGTATCAGCCTTGAGCTTTAGTCCTTAACTTATCTTCTTTATAGAATATGCAAAGACAACTGAAAGCAATGGCATGAGTTACAGCCCTTCAGACACATGCCTCAATACTCCTGGTCGTATTAAAAGATACTTCACATTAGCAATTCAACCACGAATGTTAAGAGAATACAAACTCAGTGGAAGCTTAGGTTTTCTCAGGTACACTTGGACCAGGAGGTACACTTTGCCTCACAAGCTCTTAAGCCATTCTGTGCTGTTTAGGAATGGACCAGCTAGAAACCTTCCAGGAATTCCAATCTCACCTGAGAGTGCTGGATGCTACAAGGATGACTGAGCCCCCATTAATGACTCACTACTGTGTTGACAATGTCTTGCCATTCATCCTCATATCATTCTCAACAGATAATATGTTCAGTTAAAAGTAAAGAATTATTTTTATATCTTTTGTGATTGCAATAAAAAGTGTTACTATGTTTAGAAAGCACTGAACAGAAACAATACAAAGAAAAAAACAGTTTTAATTGTCCTGCAGGAGGTCTTCTCTTTACCCAGGCAAAACATTTACCGGATGCTTATAAAGTTCTCATGGCTTTCATCCAATCTTTCAGCAAGACCCTTGCTCTGGGTGTTGCTTCCACCATAGAGAACAGTGACTTGGGGACATATCTGTCATTATGTCCGTTTTCTCCTTGCTGTTATATACAGATATAAGACCCTTCCCCTCCTAGTTTCCTGTCAAAGACAGCAATTTATAAAAACTGACAAGTTGCAACTGTCCCACAGGATTAGCGAATGCATCAGTTTCAGAAATGCTGGTTATAGCTGGGCAGTCTTGGACAGAGACCAACACTTTTAAAATTGAAATGCATATGCAAAGCCTAAAATCTAATCCTTCACTAAATTATAAACATATTGTTTTGCTCAATGTGGAGGAAGTTCTCCCGTACTCTGAAAAATGTATCATAACGGCATCAGTGGACAATCATATCTTACACAGATGCATGGAGTTAGAACAAGGTACTGCGTTGCACTCATATCTCTGAAGAAACCACATGTAATTTGTAGTACATGATCTTTAACCATTTAAACTATATCTAGTCAGAGTAAATCATCTCTAATATCTTGATCTGCTGGGACACAGGGAAATCATGACAATAAAATCATTAGCATTTGGGATAAATTATAGGTGAAGCATACAAAACTAACTTTTATTTCACCCACAAGATTAGTACAGAAAGGAGCAGGAAGAGCTACTTCATAGCAGCCTGACTCCAAGTAGTTTTTTCATCTGTGAAAAAATTACAGAACAGTTATAGTCATCTCATTTCACTCCTCAACACCAAATGTCCCAGATAGGGATATCAGTCTTCTTATGCATTTGTTGTAGACCCTCATTTATCAAGGAGCAGTACTGAAACCGTTGCCACAATTCAGGTAGAACTATACCTGCCAGAAGCTGTCACATGAGTGTTGCTGTTATTACTGATGAGGTAGGAAGGTTTCATACACTACTGCTGTCTGCACAAATAAAATCATGAAATACAGATGTGCAGCTGGCACACGAATTCATCCAGTGAGAGGTACAACACACACTGACAGGAGGCGAGGAAAGACAGGAAGGTCCAGGAACAGTGCACGTCTGTTTGAAAAGGAACTGGAAGTAAATGAGGCATGGCAAGGTTTATGCCTGTTCTAGATGATGCAGCTGCAGGGGGAAAACATTAATCACCCACAAGTCTCCTGATTTAGTCAATTAAAATGTAAAAACAGTTCAACAGAGAAAGGCTAGAAACTAAAAATAAGCAGGAAGATGACATTATAAATTACAAAGATAAACCCAGAATGGGACTGAGAGAAGCAAGAAGCTGGATCCACCTTTTCCAGAGGAAACCAGAGCTCAGTTGCTTGGCGTATGCGCACACATACGCCTCCCTCTCTGCAGAGGCCACTTTGGGCCAAACCCTCCTGAAAAACTACTCCAGGCCCACAGCCCAACCTGGTGCACATTGCTGAGATAACCTCTGCTCAGCACACCCAGAGCAGGAGGAGACAAAGGGACTTCAAGCAAAAGGATTGGTACTCTCATATTTGCACACAAAGAATCTCACATAGCGAAGTGCATACTTTACCCAAACTCCAGTAAAAATGGAAGTGTGTGCATTAGCCACAATATCACAAAAAAGCTGCACACATCATAGGACTGTGTTCACATTATTGGTATAAGCAGTGATCTGTTCTTACTAGCTTATCTCCCATCTCAGGAAATAAAAGCCTCCAGTTTGCTGGATGAAACTCTGAAAACACTGACAAACAAGAAAGGATAGCATTTGCAGTGCTTCTACTGAGCTTCACTGGAAAAAAGGAAATTGTTCATTTGCAATCAGGTACAGAAAACTGCAAAATGGAAGAACAGATCTTTAACCCATCAGCTTTCATAGTACAGAGAATTGGTGTTCAGAGCTGCACCTGCACAAAACCAGTCATGAACAGATGCAAGGTTCTCTATTCTGGACTGCTGTCTTCAGGAAAAGAAAAGAAAAAGAAAAGTAACATGGAAACCCAAGATGTTAACTGAGAGAACTTTTGAGACCAAGATGTTAACTGAGAGAACTTTTGCAAAGCCAGGCTTCCAGACTGCCACATCTTACATGCTTTGGAAGCACAACTCCGTCTTCCACCTTGCATTCTTCCCACCTCACTGGCACAGACCAGCACACTTAGGCAGTGCAGGAGGACACAGGATAAATGGAAGAGTTCCCTATCCACTCTGCAATGGCAGCATACTGTAATTATTGCGGTGCCAAAATTAGAACAAAGTGCCTTAAAGACAAAACACAAACTATATCTTGCTAATGATTAGAATAGCCTCCCACTTCTTTAATAAGTTCTATAAAGCTGAGTGGAAAAAAACTGCATTTCCCTGTCCTACTGGAAATTAAAAATAGAGAACAGAAGCAAAACAGTATCATTTATTACTGTGTGCTTCATTTATGTGAGGAGGCGTTGTTTTTATTCATCATCTGGATGATATTTTCTTCTCTGTAAAAAGCTGCAAGTGTCACAACCACAGCAATTATTTGAGTGCTGGGTGCATTTCTTAGTTTCCCTGTTGCTTAACAGCAGAAAATGAACCTAAAATGAGTAATGAAAGTTCTTCATGACAACAACTTCAATACATATTTGCATTCAGTAACACACAATATTGCATTGTTGCTGATTAACTTTTTTGTTCTTTGTAGTTACACATGCTATGAAATTTATATCATCAAGGATGGCTGCCATCCAGCCACTAACCATTACCATATTGTACAACTTTATTTTCCCAAAGCTTCAGTTTACATTGTTTTCCTTGCATTTCATATTGCTGCTGAGATGGAGCTTGCAAAGCTTCTCGTGTCAAAACAGCTTAGGGGCACGAAAAAGAAAAGGTGACAAATCAGTGAACAGATGCTGGCCCCAGGTGAAGTTTATCTAGGCCAACAAGATATAAGTAGCTGAATAAACACTTGGCCATCAGGGACAACACACTGAAAACCCTTAGTTTCATTTTCTATGTGCACATCTGAAAATACCATGTTATGCAGTGAAAAAAATTAGAGACACAGCAAAAAGAAGTCTTTGTTTCTCATTATGTGTTTTTGAGAGTTTATGAAGCATGACAGTAAAGAGAAGATGATTTTGGAAGCATTTCATAAGCCGTTCATTGCTTTGTATGTGAGTACGCTGCCTTTCCATTTTGTGCTACTATTATTTTCCCCTAAATATTTTTTTTCTTAAGTGAAAAAATCAGGTCCTGCTACTTAACTAGGAAGATGTAAAAGTAAGGCTTAAACTGTAATAATTGGGTATGTATATAGAAAGCATTGGATTGTACAAGCAACAGGGAAAACTAACCACCAAAAGAAGCAAGACAGCTTTTAGGGCATCAGGATTTGGCTCCTCTAGAGTAATGAATTCCTACTTCCCTGTTCCTGAGTTATAATGTGAGCTAATAAGATGAATACACAAGTTAAATTCCATTTTCATATAGCATAAGCGAGGAATTTCTGAACTAAACAAACCCTGACCAGTCAAAGCCAGCTTTACCTTTGCAGCCCAGAATTGCACTGCATTGCTATGACAGTGTGATGGAGCCTGGAGACCCTTCACTGGCTCCTGCTTTGGCCACCTATCAATCATGCAATGTCTCTGTCTGCAAAAGTGGACACAACACATCATCTAGGCATGAGTTCCATCTCTCTTACGTCACAGAGGCATTTAAGTTGCTAAAATCATAGCAATGCAAACCAGTCCCAAATAGTTCCTTTATTGCAAGTGCTAGGAAGCTCGTTGATTTAGTTCAGAGAAACTTGAATATTGCATGAATGGAGTTTTCCAGGGGCAACAACCACTGGTCTAACACACCTGTCTTCCAGTAAAGCTGAATGACGACAAGCACTCTGCTCAAAGCCTTCCAAGGCCTTAGAGTATTGAGGTAATTTACTACTGAAATCAGTAAAAGAGCAAACAAATCTCTAGTGTGTTATTCTACTCCCAGGGACAAAATCAGCACAAGCTCAGAATGACTAATGTGGCCAGCAATGAATCACCTGAAATTCTGTGATACA